ATTATTGGACCTAAGACCATTTATCAACAATGTGGCTACCTTTATCACATGGGAACATAAAATTTCCCCCCAGCTGCTATCGAGAATTCCAGCTCACCTGTGCTGGGCTCCAGCGTTGCCCCACCGAAGGAAATGTCATCGCCACCATGGTAGACAGGATGGATACCTGGTGAAGCTGAAAGCCTTTTTGTTGGAGTCCAAAAGTTTCCATTCAGTCTCTGAGGTGTTTCCTGGCATGTTTTTGCCTTGATGTTTTCTGGAGCTGGTGGATGCTTGCCTGGTTCATGCTGTTGGGGTGGATGTCCCCCGGCGTCGGCACCTCTGCCCGCCCCGGCTCAGCAGGTGCGGAGCAAACCCACAGAACTTGAGACAGCTGAGTCAAGCCCTCCCTCAGTGCAACAACCTCACTGCAGCTTCAGCCAGGATCGGCTTGGTAAAGGCCAGATCTCTGGTCAATAAAACTTTCATCCTGAGAGATTTCTTCAGCTTCCATAACCTAGACTCCCTCTGCATCACAGAGACTTGGCTCAGTGAGGCTGAGTCAACTGCTCTGTCAAAGCTTTTGCCAACAGGTTGCTCTTATTTTAACTCCCACGATAATCGGGCCAGGGAGGAGGAACTGCAGCCGTGTATAAAAATGTTTTTAGTTGTAAACAATGTTTTAAACGGTGTCAGTTCATCAGCTTTGAGCTGACCTCCTTTGAAGTGGGCGGTTCTAACCTGACACTCTGTGCTATCATCTACCGCGCACCCAAATACAATAAGGATTTTATTAGTGACTTTTCAGAATTTCTTTCTGAGATGGTGACTGGATATGACCATGTCATTATGTGCTAGTGTGTGAGATTTTTTTTTCATTATCACACTGTTCCGGACACGTCCCACTGAGAGGAGACCCAGAGGAAGACCCAGGACACGCTGGAGGGACTATGTTTCTCGGCTGGCCTGGGAAGGCCTCGGGATTCCCCCAGAGGAGCTGGATCAAGTGGCTCGGGAGAGGGAAGTCTGGGCCTCCCTACTTAGGCTGCTACCCCCGTGACCCGACCCCGGATAAGCGGAAGAAAATGGATGGATGGATGGATGGATGGACACTGTTGACCTTCAAACAGAGGTTAAAAGTGTGTTGGGATTTTTTTTTTTGTCTCCAAACCCTATGTGTTATTTTTCATCACTTTTTATTGTCTATCCAAACAGGTCTCACTTGTAAATGAGTCTTAGAGGCTCAATGTGACATCTGTTTAAATAAAGGTTGAATGAATGAATGTCCTTATTGTTAGTGATTTTAACGTCCATGTTTGTTGCCCAGACAAACCTCTGGTAAAATATTTTTTAAATATTATCAACTCTTTTAATATGGTGCATTCTGTTTCTGGTCCTACACACAATAAAGGTCACACTATAGATCTTGTGCTCTCTTTGGGATTACTTGTGTCTAATCTGGAAATGTATGACTGTAATCTCTGATCATATGCCTGTAATATTCCAGACTGTCCTCACTTATGCTTCTGTTAAAACTCACCTGCTCAGAGTTGTCAGATTATTAACCCCTCCACTGCTGGCCAGTTCACTGAGGTTTTCTGCCAGCTCTGTCCACCTGTTCAACTGATGCTGAGGAGCTTAGTTCTTGGCTCCACTCATTCTGTCTGACTGTACTGGATACTGTGGCTCCTCTAAAGACCAAACAGCCTGGACTTAAATGTGAACCCTGGTTTCAGAACAGAATGACTCGAGCTGTCAGACAGGAATATCGCAGAGCGGAAGGAATATTTTTCTAACTTGATTTTATCTCACAGCCACAACCCTTGTGTTATTTTTAATGCCATTGACTCTTTTCTTAACTCTCCACAGATTGCTAGTTTTGAAGCATCCACTCAGTTGTGCAATAATTCTATGCAGTTTTTATTGATAAGGTTACCTCCATAAGGGCTTCCATCTTACGCCCAGACTCTTAACCCCTCTGTGTGTGTCTCCTGCTCTCCGCATTTCAATCAGTTTGAGCTGGTAACTGTGTCATTTTTAGAAGACATGGTCTCTCAGATTAGGCCCTCTGGTTCTCCATGTGATGCTCTTCCACCACACTTTCTTAAAAAGGTTTTTCCTTAATTTGGACACTTGGTTCTTGCCCTTTTAACAGCAGTTTGTTGTCTGGAGTAGTCCCTGTTAATTTTAAATGTGCTGTGGTACAGCCCCTAATAAAGAAACCTGGTTCAATTTTTCAATTCAGTTTATTTACAGTATATAGCACCAAGTCACAACAGAAGTCATCTTAGAGCACTGAACAGAAACATTCATATGTAAAAATAAGTAAACAGAAACATCCAAATATAAAAATAATAATTTAAGACTTTATCTGAGGAGCAGACTACATTGAGTTTAACTCCATCACAGAACTCTCATCTTGAGCAAGCATGAAGGTGACAGTAGAAAGGAAAAAAATCCATCATGATGAAGAAACCTTTAGCAGAACCAGGCTCAGGACAAGTGGCTATCTGCTTCGACCAGCTGGGTTTGGTAGAAACAGATACACAATAGCAGGTCAAGAATCACATGTTAAAATAGAAATGGTATCAAATGAAAACTATTCAATTTTAACAATTAATTTAAGGAAATGAGGTCAATTTGTCATCTAGTAGTCTAAGCCTATAGCAGCATAACAAGCCAACTTTCATTATAGGATTTATCAAAAATTAAAATCTTAATCCCAGTCTTAAAACTGGACAATGCGTCAGCCTCATGGACAGAAACTGGAAGTTGGTTCTACAAGAGAGGAGCCTGATAACTGAAAAATCTGCCTCCCATTCTGCTTTTGAAAACTCTAGGAACCATGAGTAAGCCTGCAATCTGAGAGCAAAGTGCTCTGTTGGGGAAAAAAATCTGTCTGGGTAAGTATGGAACAATAAGATCTCGAATATAAGATGGAGCTAGGTTGTTGAGAGCTTTGTAGGTTAGAATTAAGATTTTGAATTAAATTCTGGATTTGACATGGAGCCAATGGAATGGTAAATGGACGGTACTTATATAGCGCCTTTATATCTTATTTCAAGATACTCAAAGCACTTTACAATACAATCTGTGCCCTCATTTACCCATTCATACAGCTCTCTACTAGATCTCTACAAAGATAATTGAACAAATCATTCTAAAGAGACTAATCAGTGCTTTAGATCACATTCATACACCGATGGGACACACATCAGAGGCTATGAGGGGTTCAGTGTCTTGCCCAGGGACACTTCAGCATGTGACTGCTGGTGGATTCGAACCCTCAACTCTTGCATTGGAGGACGACTGCTCTAACCACTCAGCCACAGCCGCCCATAATGGAGAGAAGCTAAAACAGGAGAGATATGATCTCTCCTGCTAACTCCAGTTAAGACTCTGGCAGCACCGTTTTGGATCAACTGAAGACTTTTTAAGTATTTAAGAAGTATTTGGACACCCAGATAATAAACCATTGCAATAGTCCAGTCTAGACGTGACAAATGCATGAATCAGTTTTTCTGCATCATTTTTATATAATATGTTTCTAATTTTAGTGATATTACGCAGGTGGAAGAAGGCAGCTCTAGTAACGTTTTTAATGTGGGGGATAAAAGATGCCCTGATAAAAAATAACACCAAGATTTTTAACATTAGAACTGGAGGACAGATTAATGCCATCCAAGAAGAACGAAAGACTGAAAAATGTATTCCTATGATGCTCAGGTCCAAAAACCAAAACCTCAGTCTTGTCTGTATTCAAAAGCAGAAAATTCAAAGTCATCCATGTTTATATGTCTTTAAAACATGCTTGTAGTCTAAGTAGCTGATTGGATTCATTGGTTTTCATGGACAAATATAACTGTGTATCATCACCATAACAATCAAAATGTATCCCATGTTGTCTAATAACTTTACCTAATGGAAGCATATGCAAGGTAAAGAGTATTTGTCCAAGCACTGAACCTTGAGCAACTCCATGATTAACTTTGGTGTATGACGAAGATTCATTATTTATATTTACAAATTGGAATCTATCAGATAAATTAGATTTAAACCAATTTAGAGCCATTCCTGTCATTCCAATATCATATTCAATATTTGTAATAGAATATTATGATCAACAGTATCAAATGCAGCACTGAGGTCTAACAGGACCAGTGTAGATACATGTCCATTGTCATAGGCCATGAGAATTATCAGAATGAATCAGAATGCCTTTATTGTCATTATACACAGTACAATGAAATTAAGAGCCACTCCTTTTTCCAGTGCAAAAACACGCCTTAAGAAAACACACATTAAACACACACTAAAAATATAAAAAATGTAACGCAATATAGATATAATAATGAAAGTTAAAAAAAATACAAGTATTACACAATTGTATTGCACATTATGGATATTAGTGAGGTAGTTAAGGTGACTGAGAGTATGAAATGTCAGTAGTATTGCACAGTAGAAGTCCAGGGGTTTGGGAGGTTAGATGATTAAATCAGTGCATGTGTGAGTTGGCTTTCGGGAAAAAACTGTTCTTGAACCTGTTTGTTCTTGTTCTGATGCACCTGTAGCGTTTCCCTGAAGGTAACAAGTCAAACAGTTCAAAATTCGGGTGTGAACAGTCCATGATTATGTTTTCTGCTCTGTTGAGGCAGCGTGATGTGTAAATGTCCATCAATTATGCATTAAGGAGAATAATACATCTATCATGGATGTTGTACTGCACTTCTTAACCCTTTAAGTAAGAAAGAAAGCAGCAGTACTACAGAACAGGAATAAAACCTTTGTGGATGCAGTCCTCTGAGCCATGAAGGACTTTGGTGTTAACAACAGCTTTGTTAAATTTGTAAATGAACTAAACACTGTAACTAACAAACAAACTAACTAACTAACTAACTAACTAACTAACTAACTAACTAACTAACTAACTAACTAACTAACTAACT